TTTCCCATACCGGTAGTTATAATAGAGAGTCCTACTAGCTGTAGAGAATATTGCTAAACTAAAGACTAAATTTTTTCCATCATTCTTTCCTAATCGATATAATGTTTTCTGCATATCAAATTTCTTCTCTTTAAACTCCCTTGTCTGCAAGGGAAAAATCTGAGAACTTTTTAGTGAATGGTGGTGCATCTTCGCAAATGGGATGAAAACCATCAGATCATTGAATGATTAATTGTACCAGTGGCTGATTGTGGCGCTAAAAAATCTCTTATAAAGTGTAGCAATAGGTAGGCGTGCTGGATTGTTTTATAATAATAGATGTTTTTTTGTGGAGGCAATGTATTCTGGAGCTTGCTTCAGCTATGGACGTGTTAAACAGGATGACATTGGCCTCCTACTGGTAACTGTAGTTTGTGGATGACAGCTCCCATTTTGGCAAGCCAACTTCGGTCAATCTATCTTCCCTTTTAAGCATCATAGTCAACTGTTTGAAATTCCATACGATGTCATCTAGACTGGTCAACCATTAAATTCACAAGATTGCTTCTGCACCACTCATTGGTATCATAAAAGGATTTGCTTGGAAATTCTCCCCTCACTCCAATTTACATTTTCGCAGCACTGGTTGCACAAGATAGAATGACCACTCACAACTTAGGTGTACATAGGTTTTGTGGTACTAATTTTGCATGCAGTTCTTTCCCTCTCTATAAATTTGTACTGCTCTCGGTGTTTACTAGCAAGTGTACCTATCTCTTCCCTATCATTCCCTTGATAGCATAGATGGATAATTCAAGTTGTTCTTCATATTCTTCTTCTTCTTCAAATACTTACTCCATTTCTTATTTTTCCGTATTATCTTTTGTTCCCTCACCCTCATGCACAACACAGTTACTATCTATTACCTCTTGTTCTTATATTTAGGACCTATGTAATAATTTTCTTCACAAAAATCAAAAGTCCTTTTTTTATTTTCTCTTCTAGTTTTTGAGGACTCAACTTCAATATACGGGTGTGAAGAATTAACAATAATCCATTATTATTTCTGTTCGGCTCAGTGATTGCTGGTGAAGGTTTCATTGGGTTCATGAGTTTAAAAGAGTTTATATGTTTTATGATTGTGTCAAGATTTAATTTTTTAGTGGATTGTTTGTTCTAATTATAGAAATAATATTTGAAGTGAGTTGGTGGTACACATTTGGGCATTTCTTTGTAAGTTTGGAGGTGGGTAGATGAGGTTTTAGATTTTGGTGCATAGTTAAAAGGACTTCTTCTTGTAATCAAGCTAGGCAATATGCTTGTTAAAGAGTTGTCGTGGATAATGGAATTTTTCCAGTATTTTAAAATTCTACTTTTAATCCAATAACAAATAATCTAATTTGGTACTTATTAGTGAGAGATACTCTACTCACCAATATACTGAATCACTAGAAGTATTTCTACAACATTTCCTCCTATCTTAAAGTGATTAGTTTTACCAATAAATCTTGATAAGCTTCTTTGAAGATAATCTCCAAACTCTCCACCTATTCTTCCCACTCTAGCGAACCCCCTCCTAATTTTCTTATCATTGTTCTCTTTACATTCAATTCTTGATTAGTTTTGTCCAACCTAAAATTATGCTTCATCTTATACAACTATTCGATTAGATTTTTGCCACTGAATTGTGAAAAGTCGAGTTTAAATATAATTTCACTTTGTTTTTTTCTCATTTCATTCATTCGACCCAATTTAAGTTTTTACTCCTAAGATGCTAGTTTTGTAACAGGATCTGAACTCAGCAATCCACTATCTTACTAACATAGCCAACAAATATTTTACTTATCCTAATTCTTGAATTTTATCTTTCACCTCTTGTTTTAAGATTTTTAACTCTTAGTTTGTTCTTTTCTCCTATTCCACTACCCTAATTCCTTTATTCTTGTGTCATGGTATTGCCAAAAATTTCCATGGACTCGAAATTGCTCTAATACTACTAATACACATAAAGTTTTATACTCATAGAGAGAGAGAAGGAACTTATCACACACGCACCCAAAAACTTGAGAGAAAGAAAATTCAGTGTACGCATTTTTTGTTCTGGTTACAATTCTCTATACTAATATTTATAGTAAAAAATCTAAACAAATTTAAAGTATAACTAATTAATGATTATATATATTTTTTATTTTTTTTTCTAACCAGTATAATATTTCTTAAATATCAAAATCTTATATAATTCAAATTTGTAGGAAAATAATTTGAAGTGTATAGACAAATTGCAATCATATATAATACAAATACAATTGGGTATGATTTATTGATTGTAGTTAGCAATGAACTAAAATGTAACTTGTTCCTATTGATTTAAACTCTCATGTTATTTTTTATAATATCAATATAATTTTTAATGAATGTATTCAATTATATAATATGTATTTTAAAATCTTAAAGTAGATTTTAAGAATTTTGAATCTATTTAATTTTTTTTTTTAAGAATTTCGAATCAATAATAACCACGAGAAAAAAAAAAAAAAAAAAAAAAAGCTGCTCTGACCCCTGAAGGATAAAAAACTGAATCTTGATTTTTGAGTAACGTGGCCACTCTCTCATCTACAATGCTGCAGGAAGGGCGGAAGGAGAGAGAACCAGTTAATCTCTTCTTCCCAAGTACAAAGGCTTATCTGATCTTCATTTCAACTCACTCTCTTTCAGTTCTCTCTTGTTCATTTCATGGCGTTCTGTGTTTTTCCTAATTCCATTTCTTTCTCCCGTCCTCTTTCTCCCGTTGTCCAATTTTCAAATGTCAGGACAACTGTCTCCGTCCGAAATTCCACGGCTCACGAGCCCTCCTCTTCTTCCAATGCTTCTCTCCTTCTCAACACACTAATGGCTTTCCAGGTAACTCACTC